TGTGGTTATGTTATTACCGCCGCCCAACGGAGTTGGAGGGGAGGTTTTGTGATCGGTCTCGTGCGTTCGTGTGTTGGTCTGTTAGCGTGTGTGTGTGTTCGCGCGATCGATATTAGCGCGTCAGCGAGTGAGCCAGCCAGCGCAGCGAGCGTGTACATGTGAGCGAGCAGCAGCAACGAGCGGCTGCTACGAGCTATGTCGCTGGCGGAGGTATGCACTCTCCGTGAGTGCCCTCTGTCTAGTTCGGTATGTTGTTCTCGCGAACGTTTTTTGTTTAGCGAACGTTTTTTGTTTGCAGCGGGAGATTTTGTTCTTTGGTTGTTCACGGTGACGTTGCCTTTGCACGTTTTTAAAATGAATTTTACAGTATTGTAATTCCGTGTATATTTGTGTGGTGTGTGCGTGTGTGTGCGTGCGTGCGTGTGTGTGTGCGTGCGTGCGTGCGTGCGTGCGTGCGTGTGTATGTCTGCGTGCGTGAGCTGTGCGTGTGTATGCGTACGTGCGTGCGTGCGTGTGTGCGTGTGTATGCGTGCGTGCGTGCGTGCGTGCGTACGTGTGTGTGTGTGTGTGTGTGTGTGCGTGTGTGTGTGTGTGTGTGTGCGCGCGCGCGCGTGTGTACGTGAGTGGGTGTGCGTGTGTGTACGTGAGTGGGTGTGCATGTGTATGATGTATCTAGATCTGCCAGTATATAAAGACGTAATTTGTTAAAATTAAATCTTAATAAAACACTAGTTGTTAATAAAAAATGTCATTGTTCGTATATGATATGTTTGCGTGAGAACGGGCATGCACGTAGATATGTAGTCCTCTGTTCATGTTTACATGTTTGTACGTGCCGTACGTGTTTGCATGCTCGACTATATATAATATATTATAATATATTCGACTATTTTCAACCGGTTGAAAATGGGTAGTTCTGTGTGTGGCTGCCAATTCGACCTATCTAGTCATATAGGGAATACTCCAGTACTCTATGTTCTTATCTCGCAATCTTTTCTTGAGAACCTTTTGTTCTATTCCCTCGACTAACTGACGTCAACTAGTTGAGCGCTTAAACTTCACGTTTCCACTGTTGACTTTTGGTCGAAAAGTTTAAACCCAGCCTTATTTATCGACTTTTTGCCAGCGAGTTCATCAACCTTGGCTATGAAGTTACGCAGATAATAGCAGCTATCGCAAACTGCATGCAGTGCCCCTTCCCACACTCAGGATATAGCCACGTAGAATTGAGCCAGAGCGAGAGCGCCATCTGTCGTGGAGTTTGCAGCTATCGTGGTGGTGTGTCCTCGCAACTAGTGGGAGATTATTTGCACGACGTGCCTTTATGCTATCGGCGGCACACGTGCTACGCCAGGCGCGAGTTTATACACGCCAGAATGCGCATACATCGCCTCACGCGTACGCCCAAGTTGAACCCATAGAAATAATATAGATAACCTTAGTCTATCTATATTATTTCTATGGTTGAAACGTAGACCGACTCGCAGTCGGTAGTGTAAACGCGCCGAACATCAGCTAGAAAGTTTCATAAAATGTGGAAAAGTTGATCAACTCGTCAACTTTTCAACTCAAAGTCGATAGCATAAACCCGGCTTAACACGCAATTAATTATCTAAACTAACTTAATTAAGTTAATTAACTAATTATTTAACATTAACGTATTGCTGCCGATCTCGTACACGTACCTGCGGCGCCAAACTTGAGGAACGAGTTGCCGACATGACCGTCCTGTAGGAAGCCAAACGGATGGTCCTGCTCCCAGCTTCCCAGCCCCTGGCACTGCGAGCCATGCCTGGGCACGGTCGCCTCGGCTTCCTCCTCTCCCAGCCTCTTCCACAGCCTGATCTCCTTGACGAATATTCCGATTTGCGTCTGGCAGAGCAGCATCCACGCAAGCGAGGCGGTGAATAGGTAGATGAAAAAGCACTGGAAGAAATGCGACGGTGACTGACGAGAGATGAAGAGTATTATACGTTCAGTAGGCACGGAATCTTACGGAAACAGTAGGTTTAGAATTTAGATGTACGTGATTCTGATGGGTGATCGTGCCGGGGAATCGCGTTTTTGAGCATTGATTTCATCTTGTTAGGTTCGTTTCTAGTTTGAATATTGCTTACAACTGCAATTATGTGTTATCCAACACAAGAATCGTTCATTTCGTACAATTTTAGAATTTCTGGAAGCTCTCTGTGTTTTAGGGAGGCTTGGCTGGGATATCAACAGAGCATAGGAAAAGGTGTCATTATCTTTGCCAGTTGGAGGCTTGCCAATATTAAATATAAGCGCTTCGAACGTGTAATTGCGTTTATCTATCTACTCTCTCCGGTAGCAAACCCGCTATATAGATATATCACATGTCTATATCGAAAAACGTGTATAGTTAATGCGTAGCAACGTAACAACTAAGAATTTCGTAGTTCGTAGCCAAACACATTAATAATCGGTAATCCAAACTCTGAAAACCTTATTTGATGTATATACCATATCGATCCATCTACGTATATTTGCCCGTGTCTGAGGCAATGATTGGACATATCTTATACGCTTATTATCTTATCTATTGACGCTGTGCCATAGTCAATCTGCGATCGGATAGGCCTACGCGGGTTTTCGGGAGCGACAGATCGTAGAACATATACGATGTACGCAGAACATGCGATATACGTAGAATATACGATATACGTATAATATACGATATACGTAGAACATGCGATATACGTCTAACATACTATTTACGTAAAGTATACGATGGATAAAAGTAGGATATACAATATACGCAGAACATATGATAGATTATTAGATATGCATAGAATATACGATATATGGTAGGGGCCTATATAATTATGTGCCACATGCGATATTCGAGCATAGAATATGCGTAATAACTATAATACCTTCACCACCCACTCGTAGCCGACAGGACTATAGATCAGTTCGGGAGTGACGACGATGACGATACCTGAGCCGACGATCAGCACGGCGTATATGATGCTGACCACCGTCGACAGATTCTTACTGAAACGCCAACAACAAATAACCTCACTATATATCACTTATACTAATGACGATGACGATGATGATGATGATGATGATGATGATGATGATGATGATGATGATTATGATGATTATGAGGATAAAAATAAAAATAATGTACCCAATAATGATAATATAATATTGTAATTATTATTATTATTATCATTATCATTATCATTATTATTATCATTATCATTAATTATCATTATCATTATCATTAACATTAACATTATTATTATTATTATTATTATTATTATTATTATTATTATTATTATTATTATCCTTATTATTATTATTACGTACTTACAATTTCGTACTACTTTTTTTACAAGATTGCTTACTAGGCCTACTACTAACATAATTCAAGCAAACTGGCAACGCGATGCGTCCCCAACCACAGGCACTTGGAGCGTTTCAATAATATATAATGCTAAATAAATACGAAATCTATTTACTACCAAAGTCTTAATGTTTCTCTGCTCTCTTTTGCCTATTATTGCCGACAATTTCCTGTGAATGCCGTGCAAATGCTCCTCTGCAACACACATGCACAACGCATGCACGCTGCCGCACACTGACACATAAATATATAGCACGAAAATAACTATAAATAAATACACAGAACTATATATTTATGTGTCAGAGTGCGGCAGCGTGCATGCGGTGTACATGTGTGTTGCAGAGGAGCATTTGCACGGTATTTACAAGAAATTGTCGGCAATAATAGGCGAATAAGAGTAGAGAAACATTAAGACTTTGGTAGTAAATCGATTTCGTATTTATTTAGCATGATATTTTATTGAAACACTTCACAAGTGCCTGTGTCCCCGACGAGCGACCAACATACCGCAGCAGCAGCTTGTTCTCTGCCGTCATCGAAATCCACGAGAAGGAAGCCATCGACGTCATGGTGTTACTCCGCAAGCGCGGCCGCCGCCTGGCACCATCGTCATCGTCGCCGGCGTTGCTGTTGTCGCGCGAATTATTTGGGAAGTTTCCGTAGCTTTCCGCGTCGCCAACTACGGGGTTCGTGTTCACGAGTGTCCCCTCTACTATGCTCTCCATACTGATGTATCCAGACTCGATCTGAGAGCGGTTTTTGGCGAGGCGAGCGCTCGGGAAGGAGCTCCGCGAGCTCGGCACACGCGGCGACGACGACGACAAAGATGTCTGCCGCGAGCCTTGCGACAGCACGCGCAGGCGCCTCGGGTGCGGCGACTGCAAGCAGGAGCCGTTGTTGTAGCTCCGTCGGTCGGAGTGGCCGACCTGCCTCGCCCAGCCCGACGTCGACGAAAAGTAACCGGAAGGCGTCTGCTGGCGCGTCTTGCCCGGCGATCTCCGCTGGTAGCGCTGCACGTCTAGCGTCGCGTGACGGCGCTGCGGCTGCTGCGGCGGCAGCGGCTGCGCGAACGGGTCGGCGACGACGCTGTTGCGCGGAGTGACGGATCTCACGTCGTCGACAAACTCCTGCCGCGTGCCCGGCTCCGATAGGTGGCGCCGCCGGCGTCCGTGGTCGTCGGCGTCGTCGACGGATTCGTCGAGGTCCCTCGGCGCTTCGCTTTCGGTACAGGTGCTGCCATCTGTTGAGCCGAGTTCGATCTGCACTGAGTCACTAGCAGGTGGGGCTGCGTTTGAGTCTGGTTGCTCTCGCATGGTCACCCCGTCCCGCAGAACTGACATTTCTGCTGTTGAACGTGTTTGAACGTTACATCAACGTATCGAGTCAATGTCTATGCGGCGAATGAATCTTCGAGCTGCACTCTTCTAGCGCTCTACTCTCACTCTAGTTCACTCACTCTGGCTAGGTGAATGCTGCGCTCTAGCGGTGATAGCGCAGGGCCAGAAGCTTTGAGGAAGGAACGGAGCACCTGCCCTCCCTAGATTTTTGAGGAAAAAATAAAATAATGAAGGCAATATGCGTGTAAATAATTGTCAATTAGGTGTAAATCAGCATTCGTGAAGTCCTCGTAAGTAAGTAAAAGTAAAAAGTAAAAGTAAAAGTAAAAAAGAAAGAAAGTAAATATTTATACAAATAAGGCTATATCATCCTATCAGTGCAACCCTCCTCCCGCCCCACAACCTACCCATGCCACACTATGTGCGTCGAAAGGAAGCTACGCGCCCCTCCCTCGTCCTGATTCAGTTGAGTTACGAAATCTTCCTCGCGTTCTTAAGAATTAGTTCCGGCTGCGGCCGTGGCCTGATTTCGACCAGTGTGTACGGTCGCCGCGTTGTGCACACGGAGCACTGATAACCAAAAAGTATCGTCATCTGCTATGTGTGCGTATTTGTGTGTGTGTGTGTGTGTGTGTGTGTGTGTGTGTGTGTGCGTGCGTGTGTGTGTGTGTGTGTATTGGTCATATGTATGTAAATAAGTTTTCTATTTTATTACATATATATAATATATATTACTTATTCATTTATTTAGTTAGTTAGTTTGTGAGTTAAATGTTTCTACGTGTTTCAGTATGATGTCCATCTCAACCCTCGTCGCTCTGCTTAGCTGTGCGTGCGGCGTTCGTGGACAGGGTCCATCCTTGCTCTACGGACAGGACAGCACTGGCGGCTATCGCTTTCAGACCGCCTACGCGCCTGCAAGCAACCTCCAGACGCAACGAGTCTGGCAGTTTAATGTACCGCCAGGTGGAGCTAGGCAGTTTAACGTGCCGCCAGGTGGAGCTAGGCAGTTTAACGTGCCACCAATTGGAGTTCGGCAGTTTAACGTGCCGCCAGGTGGAGCTGGGCAGTTTAACGTGCCGCCAGGTAGAGCTGGGC